AAAAAATATTGTACAGGATAGTTTAATTGAATAACTTCTCCTGTCCCTCTAACACTGAGATTCTATGTTCCTCCTAGTCTATGCAGATCTATGTTAGTACCTTAGTAATTCAAAGAAATAAGAGGTTCATGAAATGTGAATGTACCAGTTAATGAAACACCTTTTGACCAATAACAACCATATTAGCTTTTCCTTCCTTTTTTCCAAATGTGTTTTTGGAAGATGAAACAAAGCATAGACATGCCATCATCAATAAGCCTTGTTAAGCCCCACAGACAATTATACAAAATTCAAAAAAGCTATAATAAGGAAGTTTTCCAGAAAACAAACTATAAATATTGGTCTTGTCTTATCACAAGGGTGCTATTATAATACTCTCCAAGCTAAATCCTCACATGTTATAACTGCCTCTGGGGAAAATAAAAGGAGTAACAGAACACAAGAGAGACCAGCTTTAGTAATTATCTTCAGTGGGAGCCATAACCCTTTTTTCAGTTTGTAAGGACTTTGGAAGACAGCATCTACAAATACACCTGCAAATAATAAATTAAGTTTCATTAGTTTGGTCCTTCAGCCAGAACTGACTAATCGGATCTTCTGCCATCAGCTCTTCACAGTAAATACCACTGACCCCGTGAGACCCATTGAAATTTTTCTAGGAACAGATTTATATCTCTTCTCTCAGACTGCAAAATGATTCTCTGCGGATACTGACAACCCCAGGTGAAGGTGATTCTCTCTCTGCCAAGTAACACTTGCCATTGTCCTGTCCCATTTTCCAGAGTTAAATATCATCTGCAGGACTTGATCACTGATGTGGAAAGGTGCTGAAAAGAAGATACTCCCAAATATAGATATAACCACAGAATAAATTTCAGATATAGATAAATGTTGGGTCCAAACACTGTGCAAAGGGTTTCTTCATTCTCAGTCACTTTATCTCTCAATGTCTTTTCTTGTTTAATTATTCAATACATTTATTTCTGCTCTCACAGAAATTTTCCTCACTGGTCTGCTGAGTCTAACAATGCAGCTACCATTAGGCCATTTTATATCAGGATAATATATCTCCCAAGCCTTTCATTGGCCACATTTTTCTCTAAAGCTGCCCTTCTTCAGAGATTCATCTACTGCGTAAGAAGGTAAGAATATATTGGAGCTCTGTAGTGGTTCCATCTTTACTACTTGCCATTTGGTCCTTATCAGGTCCTTTCTCCCACATGTAACACAGGTTTTCTTCCCAAAATGTGAAGTACAGATGTGAGTAAAACTGTAATCTGATTTCTGTGTTAATGAATATTTTAAACAGAACAGTGCGTTGCTAATAAGGGTTTTGTTGTTTTTTTAATCCTCACCTAAGGATATGTTTATTGAGGATATGTTTACTGAGAGAGAGGAGGGGGGAAGAGAGAAACACTGATGTGAGAGAGGAATATCCATCAGTCATCTTCCGTACACGCTACCTCCAGGGATCAAGCCTGGAACCTAAGTATGTGCCTTGCCTGGCAATCAAACCCACCACCTTCTAGTGTATGGAACAATGCTCCAAACAGTTGAGCCACCACCCAGCTAGGGCACAGTTTTATCTTTTAATGGAAATTGTAGTCTCATTTCTCAGACTTAGTAACTCAAATTTTTCTTATCCCATTGTATATATGTATATATTAATTCCAAAGTTACTTCTCTTTAGATTATCTTCAGTTTTGCATGTCTTATTGTAAAATTCAGAAAATGGTAATAGATTATATGTTTTCTGAATATTTAAGATGCCTTTTATAAATTAAAGGAGTGTACTTTGAGTTAATTTTTGAAAAACAATAAAAAATATTTAATTTTCTGCATGGCCTTTTGAGATATGGATCACTAGAGTTAGATATACAGTTTGGGATCAGAATTAAGCAAAATTCATCTACTGAAATAGGATCAAGCCTGCCCGTGCCTCATTAGAAAAGGTATGTAATACCCTGGCCAAATCAGTCACGAACCACTTTTAATGATCACCATTATAGATTTATAATCCTTTTGTGGTCCACTAATGATTCCCATATCTTTCTCAAACATGCTTGTACTAGATGGCCATTTGCATCTGATATAAGATCACAATTCAAAAACATAAAGCATCAATGCCTTCGCAGTCTAAGTCCCTGTAAAACAAAAGTACAGGTAAGCACCCAGGCAATTGTCTACTTTCTAAAGAAATGCATTGGTGTGACAGTAAAAGAAGACAGGCCACTTCATAAAATCATGATAAAAAAACTTGTTTGATTTTAAAACATGCACTTAATTGTACTGAATCTAGGTTTAGAGGTAGGGCAACACCAGCTTAGAATCTTTGACAGAATGAACCATCAAACTTAAAATTATTATTCAGATCATAGACAAAGCTATGACTTCAGGACACTGATGATTAACGTTGTCAATGAATTTTTTAAAACTCCTAACAACTTGGCAACCTAAAATAACATGATTTACTCAATTATTTTTACTTATTTGTGGAAGGAATATTAAGTAAAATGTAGAAAGACCCCTAGACTGGAAATTGTAAAACCTAGCAGTAGTGCTAACTCTAGGACTATGCAGCTATGGGACTCCTCTGTCATTTAATTTCTGTAAGGATCATAAGAACACTATGCATGTAAAATACCATCACTATTTTGTGAGTTCATATCACCCTAGTCCGCTGACGTTTCATCAATGCCATGTTTCTTTTTGTGCCATTTTCTCTCTCTCTCCCCACCTCCTCTGCCTGCCTACCACCACCCTATTTTTCTGCAGTTTTGTTATTGAAAGGAACTAAGTCATCTCAGAGCTACATCTAGGTTATCAATGAATCAAAGTAAAGGGGTGTTCACCCAATGAATATTAAGTTTCATGCCTGGAGATCTATGATAATAGCAGTGACACATGGAAGACAGTCATAGAACAAAGGTAAAAGAAATTTGTCTTGTTAATATTCACACTAAATGGGGAATAAAATTGTTTAAAAATAAGTAGAAGAAAATTTAATTGCAACTGAAATGAAATTGCATCTAATAAAGAGAGAATTACAAACAGGTCTACATGCCTTCCTTCATCCTTCCCTTTAAGATGGTTTTTCTTGGGTTGAATAAAACAAGACTCAGCATATACAATCATTTAATCATTATGTTATACATGTGAAACTAATATAATGTTATATATTGATTGTACCTAAATATTAAAAAATTAACTTTAAAAAATTTTGAAGTTCAGATTCTATGAGGTAACATGTTAACTTCGTAGATTGTTTTTGGTAGAAAGTTTATCTTCAAAGGCTTTGATTTCATTGCACTGTAACCACTTTTACAATGCTCCAGTAACTTTATGCCAATGGTCTTTTTTTTTTTTTTTTGGTGTCTACAAATACCCTGCTCTTCAAATGCTCTTTAAAACTTTATATTCTAACTAGTTTGCTCATTTTTGAGTTAATAAATCTTTGACGTATTTTTAAAAAACACAAGATTCAGCACACTATGTGTGGACTGGAACTCCCTATCTACAGGAAATTTCCCAAGAGAAATAATAGATCTTAAGAGCAATTCAGAGAATGTAGAATGTTCCCTAATGCAAATAAGAAAACAATATGAAAAATAAATGAGAAAAAATAATCAAGAAAACCCTAAAAAGTTAAGTAATGTGATGAAAAAAAGAAAGCCATTGAAGATAATAAAGGCATAATAATAAAAGAGATACAGGCTTAGGAAAAAAAAAATACTTAGTGTAACACTTTGTGAATGTATCTTCACACCTGTCCAGAAGAAAGAAAAAATATCATATCTGAAGGGAAGATTGAAATATAAAGATACTTGTAATTTACAAGGTGTAATTCATTGAGAATACTGAAGCCCAAATTGTGTGCTCTATCAAATTCCCTTTGCTTTGATTCAAAACTCAGAAACACACATCTGATTCCTAATTTGATTTCCCAGGACCTCGATATTAGTAAATGGTTGCCCTGAGTAGTAGGCATAACAGTTTAGTCATGGGAGTGAAATCTCCCACTGTAGATTAACAAATTGGTTGTTTGGTTTACAAGTCATTCTCTCAGGTATTTGAATAGTGTGAACTGATTTCCCAATGCCTGATTCCCGAGAGAAACCTGACCAAATCAAGATTCTAAATCTACAGAAAGTAACATCAGACCTCTCTGGTCTGCGAGACCACTGCAGCTGCCTGACTTCTCACTATGGCCATCCCTCTTTACCTCCTCCTCTTCTCTCTTCCTTTACCATATCCCAAGACAAAATTATTATATACAAAGGAACCAAAATACATAACATCAAGTACCGACCAAACTTTACTTATATGCTTACAGCCTCCTGGGCATTATTCTCCTTTAGTCATGAACAATTTGGAGAGTAGACTTATACAGCATCAAGCACTGTCATACAAAACTAGCCATCTAATCAAAATTCTATTCCATTCTGTCTACTACAAAGGGGGAAAGGAATTTTCTCACTCCCTATCTGCATACTCCCCACTCTATATAAGTTTATATCCTAACAGAAATAAGAATGAACCATTGTGTTCTGGAAGTTTCCAAACTGGCAGGACATCTAACAAAACAAATATCCTTTCTCACTCATGTCATTTCCAGTAAATCCTTAATCTTTGGCAAAAGTTCTTCAGATACAAACTTCTAAGTGCAAACATTTTCTATAAACGTCCAAAGAGTGAATATTTTAAGATTTCCAGGACAAATGCAATGACTTCACTCTGCCATCATAGTACCAAAACCACTACAGACAATACATAAGTAAATGAGTATGGCTGTGTTCCAATAAAACTTTATTTACAAAACAGGCCAACCCTGGCCACAGAATGTACTTCCTCCCTACTTGTCACTTTGCCACATAAGAGAAAAACTTCTCTGCCACTGTACCGGATTTTTACAATCTCTTTCTCTAGTTCCTCCTCACTTTCCTCTCACCTCCATGCTAAGTCCTGCCTTGTCCATTCTCTAGGTAACAACTCTCCAGAAGATGGAAAGCATCAACAGCACATTGTTGACTGAGTTCATCTTGACAGGAATTCCCTACCCACTCAGGCTAAGGACATTTCTTTTTGTGTTCTTTTTGCTGACCTACATTCTGACTCAGCTGGGGAACCTGCTTATTCTAATCACCGTCTGGGTAGATGTGCAACTCCATTCCCATCCCATGTACATCTTTCTTGGTGTTCTTTCCATCATCGACATGGCCATCTCCACCACCATTGTTCCTCGCCTCATGATGAATTTCACTTTAGGCATTAAGCCCATCTCATTTGGTGGCTGTGTCACTCAGCTCTATTTTTATCACTTCCTGGGCAGCACCCAGTGCTTCCTCTATACCCTGATGGCCTATGACAGGTACCTGGCAATATGTCGGCCCCTGCACTACCCTGTACTCATGAATGCTAAACTGACTACCTTACTTGTGGCTGGAGCTTGGGTGGCAGGATCCATCCATGGGCTTCTCCAGGCCATCCTAACCTTCCGTCTGCCTTACTGTGGACCCAACCAGGTGGAGTATTTTTTTTGTGACATCCCTGCAGTTTTGAAGTTGGCCTGTGCTGATACAACAGTCAATGAGCTGGTGACCTTTGTGGACATTGGGGTGGTGGTTGCCAGTTGCTTCACCCTGATTCTCCTCTCCTACATACAGATCATTCAGGCTATCCTGAGAATACGTACAGCTGATGGTCAGCGCCGGGCTTTTTCAACCTGTGGAGCCCATGTAACTGTGGTAACTGTGTACTATGTGCCTTGTGCCTTCATCTACCTGAGACCTGAAACAAACAGCCCCCTAGATGGGGCAGGGGCTCTGTTCCCCACAACCATCACTCCTTTTCTCAACCCCCTCATCTACACTCTGCGGAACCAAGAGGTGAAGCTGGCCCTGAAGAGAATGATAGGAGGCCTAAGGACTAAGAGTCAGGTTTGAAAGTGTCTGTCACCACCTGGGGAAACCTTCATCTTTACAATTTTGTCTAATGTTTAGATATCAATGAGGGGTTTTTCTTCTTGCTTTTCCTCTTTTAGTAGCCATATAATATCAATACATCAAGATCAAACACAGTTTAAGGTAAAATACTACTTTCTAGCAATTTTTTAGTATCCCTTCCACTTAAACGACTCAGTTGCTCCAAGAATAGAGAATGAGATTAAAGCCACTCAGAAAACAGCAAAATCTGGCACACATGACATCTAGAAGATTGACATACAAAAAATATCCAATAGGCTTTTTAGTCTCTAGGTTGACATTGGTCAAGATATCATAGGATACACTATGTTTCTTTTGATGAGAGAATGTTCTTCAGTTCTGTTTCAACTGGATATATACATTAGAGCTAGTTCTAGAAGAGAAACCATACATGCTTTGCTGTGTGCACTTTAACAGGCCTGGACTGGAGAGCTTTCTGTGGCCACTATGTGCTATGAAAAGGTACTGAAGTACTTACTCTACCATGCCTGCTGAAGAAATAAAGCTTCTCTTTTTTGATTATTATATTTTATTGATTATGCTATTACAGTTGTCCTGATTTCCCCCCTTTGTCCCCCTCCACCCAGCACCCCCTGCTCCCTCAGGCAATCCTTTCACCATTGTGCATGTCCACGGGTCATGCATTTAAGTGCTTTGGCTACTCCATTTCCTATACTGTACTTTATATCTCTATGGCTATTCTGTAAGTACCTAGTTGTATTTCTTATTCCCCTCACCTCTTTACCCATTCTCCCTCCCCCCCATCCCCCCATCTAGCAACCTTCCAGTAACTAACTTCTTTTCTCTTGCTTTTAAGAGTTTCCCTTTATCTTTAACCTTTGGCCTTTTAATAATGATGTGTCTTAGAGTGGGCCTCTTTGCATCCATCATAATTGGGATTCTCTGTGCTTCCTGGACTTGCATGACTATTTCTTTCACCAAATTAGGGAAGTTTCTTTTGCTATTTTTTCAGAGAGATTTCCGACTTCTTATTCTTTCTCTTCTCTTTCTGGCACCCCTATGATGCTAATGTTGGACATTAAAGTTGTCCCAGAGGCTGTTTATATTATTCTCATTTTTTTTATTCTTTTTTCCTTCCTGTTGTTCTGCATAGTTATTTTACACTTCCTTACATTCCAAATCATTGATTTGATTCTTGGCTTCATCCAATCTACTGTTGTTTCCCTGTAAATTGTTCTTTATTTCAATTAATGTATCCTTCCTTTCTGACTGGGTTAAAGCTTCTTTTAACTAGTGATTTCACAAACTAAACAATTCAAAAAAGAGAACACAATAAGATATTTTCAAATGTGTCAATTATAAATTCCTCCACACCAAAAAGTAAAATTCTGTATAAAATTTCCCATTACAATAGGACAATTAATCAAGGCACCAGGATAATTTATCCAAATTAGTATTTCATATCAGTTTAGACTCATGAGGTTGACAGCCTTTCACTGAGTTAATCCAAAACCTAAACAATATGGGCAAATTTTGTGCAATATATCTCTATACATCCAGTCTTAACCTATTATGCCTCTGTCTCATTCTCAGCTTTTATATTAAATGCTTGCTTTATTTATGGATGCAATTATGTTATCAATAAAGTCAAGTCTCTCAATCAGAGCAGACAGCCAAGAGTTTAGTCATATGTTCACCTCCACAGAGACTCACAAGTCCACCTAATCAATATAGGAAACAAAAAACTAACCATTCTCAATTTCTCAATATCCCATTCAAAAAAATCTACTAGAAATCCACTCCCTCAAACTAAATAATTATTTATTAAATAGTTTAACCATATTTAACAAATAAAATAGTTGAATAATGCAGTATAAAAATAAACATAATTGGGAGTAAAAGGGAGAAAACTGTATTTGAACAATGATTAAAATAAAATTTTAAAAAATAAATAAATAAATAAAATAAACATAAATCTGTGGTTATTGAAACAAAAAAATTCTAAAGGCTATCATATATCTTGTTCCTGTTTCCCCAGGTGCGTACCACAATTATTACCATACCTCTTTTTCTAATAATTAATAAAATAATATTATTACATGTCTTTATTCAATTCCATGGGTAGAGTGCTTGGGGGTTCCCAGGCTAAAGCCAGAGTGATCATTTCAAACCAAAAGACCAGGACTTTGATAAACCACATGATCTTATCTAAGAGGTACAAAAGAGGAAAGTAGTAGGAGACAAAGACAGACTCTTGGCCCTTGACCAGCATGGCTCAGTAGCTTGGGTGTCATCCTGAGGAGCAAAGCATTGCTGGTTGGATTCTCCTGGTTGGGGCACATGCCTGGGTTGAGGATTCACTACCCAGTCTGGGCACACGCAGAAGGCAACTAATCAATGTTTCTCTCTCACATTGGTGTTTCTCTTCCTCTCTTCCTCCCTCCCTTCCTCTCTCTCTAAAAATAAATAAATAGCCTGGCTGGCATAGCTCAGTGGATTGAGTGCAGGCTGTGAACCAAAGCATCGCAGGTTCGATTCCCAGTCAGGGCACATGCCTGGGTTGCAGGCCACAGCCCCCAGTAACTGCACATTGATGTTTCTCTCTCTCTCTTTCTCCCTCCCTTCCCTCTCTAAAAAAATAAATAAATAAAATTTTAAAAATAAATAAATAAATAAAATATTTTTAAATGATTAAAAAAATGCTCAAAGAATTTAGTGAGAACTAGAAGGAACCTAGTGATAATTACAGTAGTATGGAAAAAGACATATAAACCATTAAAAAAAAACAGTCAGAAAAGAAGAATACAATATCTGAAATGAAGCATATACTAGAAGAAATAAAGAGAAGGTTAAATGAAGCAAAGGACCGAATCAGTGGTTTGGAAGACAAGGTAACAGAAAACACCCAATTAGAAGAGCAAAAAGAAAAAAGATTTTTTTTTATGTGGATAGTTTAAGGGACCTTTGAAACAACATGAGGTGTCACAATCACAACATCACATCATAGGGTACCAGAAGGAAAAGAGAGAGAGCAAAGAATTGAGAATGTATTTGAAGAAATAATGACCAAAAACTTCCCTAACCTGATGAAGTAAAAAGACACAGAAGTTCAAGAAGTTCAGAGAGTCCCAAACAAGATGAACTCAAAGAGGTTCACACCAAGGTACATCAAAATTAATATGGCAAAGTTAAAGACAAAGAGAGAATTTTAAAAGCTGCAAGAGGAAAACCATTAGTTACCTACAAGAGAGCTCCCATGAGACTGTCAGCTGATTTCTCAACAGAAACATTTCAGGCCAGAAGAGATTGCCATGAAATATTCAAAGTGATCAAAAGCAAAAACCTGCAACCAAGACTATGTTACCCAGCAAGACTATTGTTTAAAATTGAAGAAGAAATAAAGAGCTTCCCAGACAAGAAAAAGGTAAAAAAGTTTGTTACCACTGCAGCAGTATTATAAGAAATGTTAGTGGGAGGAGGAGGAGGAGAAAAAAGAGGAGCAGGAGGAGGAGAAACAGAGGAACATGATTAAAAGAATAAAATGGCAATAAATATGTACCTATCAATAATCACTTTAAATGTAAATAGCTTAAGTGCTCCAATCAAAAGACAAAGTATAGCTGAACAGAAGAAAACATGACCCACATATATGCTATCTACAAGAGACCTACCTTAGAATGGAAGTTACACACAGACTGAAAACAAAGGGATGGAAAAAGATATTTTGCACAAATGAAAATGAAAAAAATGCTGGGGTAGCAATACTTATATCTGACAAAATAAAATCTAAAGCAAAGGCTATAATAAAGGACAAAGGACACTACATAATGATAAAGAGAGAAATCCAACAGGAGGATATAACACTTGTAAACATTTATGCACCCAACACAGGAGCCTCTAACTATATAAAGCAAATTTTGATAAAAATAAAAGAGAGAGACTGACAGTAATACAGTCATACTAGGGGATTTTGACACCCCATTGGCATCAATGGGTATATCTTCCAGACAGAAAATCAACAAGGACACAGTAGCCTTAAATAACACACTAGAACAGGTGTATTTAACTGATACCTTCAAGCATTTCACCCGAAAGCAGCACAATATATGTTCTTTTCAATTACATATGGAACATTTTATAGGCTAGAACACATGTTAGAACACAAAACAAGTCTCGATAAATTTGAGAAGACTGGGATCACATCAAGCATCTTTTATGACCGTAGTAGTATGAAAATAGAAATCAATCTCAAGAAAAAATACTAAAAAAAAAAAAACATGCAAAGACACGGAGTCTAAATAACATGTTAGTAAATAATAAATGGGTTAGCAATGAGATCAAGGAAGTAATCAAAGGATATCTTGAAATGAATGAAAATAAGAACACAAAGCCCAAATCCTATAAAACAGAGATAAAGTAGTTTTAGGAGGGAAATCCATAGCATTACAGGCTTACCTCAAGAAACAAGAAAAATCTCAAAGTAAACCATTTAACTTTACACTTAAAGGAACTAGAAAACACAGTAAATAAACCCCAAAGTGAGTAGAAAAAAAGAAATAATAAAGATCAGAGCATAAATAAAGGAAACTGAATCTAAAAACAGTACCAAAAAATTGATGAAACCAAGAGCTGGTTCTTTGAAAAGATAAAGGAGATTGACAGACCTCTAACCAGACTAATCAAGAAAACAAGAGAGAGAATCCAAATAAATAAAATCAGAACTGAAAAGGAAGAAGTAACAACTGACACCAGAAAAATACAAAGAATTGTAAGAAAGTATTATAGGTAACTATATGCCAACAAAATGGACAATCTGGACAATATGAATAAATTCCTAGAAATAATCTTCCAAAACTGAATCAGAGGCTCTGGTTAGGTAGCTCAGTTGGTTAGAGCATTGTTCCAATATGCCACGTTGAAGGTTCGATCCCCATTCAGGGCACCTAAAAGAAGCAACCAATGAATGCATAAATAAATAAAACAACAAATTTCTCCCTCCC